CCTGCTGTGGTTCGTCTTAGTTATAAAAATTATCTGTTTACTTTGTGGTGATTCATTGGCAGACATTTCCTAAATACAGGCCTAGAATGAATCGGTAGGTTATTTGGATTCAGGTCTTGAAGTGCATGCACAGTATTTCTTTTTAAATATGCTACAAAGAGATATATAAATGAATATAGGATCTGGACCTTGTGAAATACATGAAAGGAGGACAGGTATGTTTAGACATGTGCATGTTTGGCCTAGTTTCATAATAAAAACATGGGACAGTATCAGTTCTTCACAACAATCACATGAGATGTAGTGAAAAGCTCAATACACTGAAACACAGTTTTAGCTCCTGAAATTTCAGTATATAGTATGTCAGAGTTTTGCGCCTGTGCAGATGGCCTGCAAGGACTATGCGTGATTCAGTTCAGGCCTCAGGCCTCAAAGTGGCATTTAAATGGTCCTGTATCATCAATGTTGTATTAATCATGTGATAAAGTTACTCTGAAAAGAAGAGAGACTGACTGCTGGTATAGCAGGATTCCACTAGATATATTATATAGATAGATAGATAGATAGATAGATAGATAATATAGATATATTAGAAAGAGATAGTCACCTTTGTTCCTTAAACTGTATTCAAGTCTTCTGCTCCTTTACTGCCCATGTGAAGTTATCACGGTAGCTATGTCACAAGTCGCTTTCTGCTTCTGAAGCCAGAGAAATAAGAGCCAGCTCAGAGGAAAAATAATGAGAGTTGAACTTATTCCTCCAGAAGCAGGCTGCAGAATATTTTTTCGGTATGCCTGCACATGTGCTACATTGTTTTCTTTGTCTTTCTGTGTTTCAACAGGCCTTGAATAGGGGCATCGCTGCTGTCAAGGAAGATGCTGTGGAAATGCTGGCCAGCTATGGGCTGGCATACTCCCTGATGAAGTTCTTCACAGGTCCAATGAGTGACTTCAAAAATGTAGGTCTGGTGTTCGTGAACAGCAAGCGAGACAGGACCAAAGCAGTTTTGTGCATGGTTGTGGCTGGAGCCGTAGCTGCTATATTTCATACCTTAATAGGTAAGATCACTTCACATCTAATTAATACATCGCTTAATTTGTTTCCCGTCCCTCACCTGTTCTTCAAAACTGATTAATCTGTAGGCTTAAGATTTCGTTTGTAAGTGCAACAGGAAATGCCGAGGAGATGAACTCTCTTGGGCTGGAGTCATGCCCGAGCCGTGCAGTTTTTATTACTTTTTAAACAGGTTGTTAAGTGGCAGATTCCACCTCCAGGGCTCTCCTGCCTGGCTTCTTGGTTTGCTGCTTATCTCTTGCGGTCAGGTGTGTCAGCCTGCCTACATCAATGGGTTGCAGAAAGCTGATAGCTCAGTCTTAGTGGTAGGCAGTGACAATCACCTACCAGTATGCGCTTGAATGGGTTTACCACTCACTTTGTAGTAGGACATCAAGATGTGTAAGGCAGAGCTGTTTGTCCAGACTTGGTGGCATTATTGGTGTATTTCTGTACCTATCCCTTTGCTAGTTATCTTACAGTACAAAACTCCAAGCAAGCAGGTGCCAGCAACCTCATTAAAAAATACCAAGTATTACTCTTCGCTTGTGCTAGTCGTCATCCACTTCTATTGAGTAACTAATCTGTAGGAGAAGTAGCTACTAAGAGCACTTTATGCTAAACTGAGACCAGCTCCCTGAATGCATTTGTAAGCAAGGAAAATACACAAGCAGAAATTAACTGAATATAAAAGTAAGGCAACCACAGGATTTGCAAGTTCCTGAGAGACTAGAGAAATGTGATATCAACCCAAGCATCAACCAGTACCACAACAATAAAAAGCCACGTGACCTGAAAGATTTTAACTTCATCCTCTTCAAGAACCGCACCAGATCCTCTGCACCTTCTAGCTCGTTTCACAGAGCGGAAACCAGTGTATCTCAGCTATGAGGAGCAGGAGACACTGGAGGAAGCAGCAGAGAGCACCTGGCATTCGACAGGTACAGTCCTAAAAGCTGGGAGCTCTGAGGAGTGGGAAGAGGGAGGGAGGTAGCACCAGAGCCTGTGGAGGGGTGTGGTGGTCTACAGGCGGTAGGGAAGCTACCGGGGGTGTTCCTGTTGCAGATGGATGAGAAAAGCGAGTGTGACGGCAATATCCAGAATTGCCGTGGAATTGCAGAGTGGCCTGGATGTGGGATACTATTCGTTATCAGGCTGTTGCTCTGTCAAGTACCAAATGTGCTGCCAGTCAGCATACAGGGTCTGCATGAGCAGTTAGAAGAACCTTGTGGTAAGGCTGGAGGTCCCCTGCTCTTATCCCTCAACAGAGTGCCACTTTATTTACCAGCTCTGTGTGCTTCCCAGGCACTATAGTTTGTTTGACCATCATGTCTTTTATTCCACCACCGACGTGGTAGCCCTATACTGTCTACCTTTATCCTATGTTACAATGGCTAAACTGTTGCTAATTTTACAGACTGAAAACATCCGTGCCTTCAAGTTAATTTATTTCAGCAGTATTGATTAGTCACTTCCTCGATATATGTTTGCAGCTGCGGCTGTTAATATTGAGTCAGTATTGTAAACCTGGGGCGATTTGTAAGTTTGGCCCTCACATTTCTTTGTCTGTTATTTTCCCTCCAGTGCTGGTCCAAGTCTTTGGCTTTGCCAGTTAGATAAATAATTATTTTCCGGTCATTAAAAATTTTATTTTAAGCTAGTATGGATTGTAAGAGAATTTAAAGTATAGCTATCAGATTTCCAGGTAAAAGACGTAGCTGGATTTTCCATGTGGGACTTTTATTGAGCAGAGGTGTTTGGGGCAGCCATTTGAAAACATGCCAGGTAAGTTACTTGGCTTTGCCTGGAAATAGAGCTCTGCAGAGTTCAGAACCTCCGAAGTGCTCTCTGCAGTTATTGAAAAGAAAAAAAGAAATCAAGGGCTTCACTTACCATGCCTTAAAGTCCTGAATTAAAGGGCCTCACACAAGCTTTCAGCTGCTCATGGTGGCAGACAGCAAAATATTTTTTAGTATTTTAACTTATCTGTGCCTGAAAATATGCAAAGGCCACATCAGAGACTGGCAGAGCGCCCAAGTGAATGGAGCTAGTCAGATTCTAGCACCAATTGCCTGGGTGATGTTGCCAAGTTTTATGTTTCAAGTTTCCTTTGAACACGTTTCAAATCCTGATTATTCTTTTCTGACCCACAGATGCACAACCTTCCCAGCAGGAGAAGGGGAAGGCGTCTAGCAACAGACAGGCAGCCTCCTAGGCCCTGCAGCTACTCCTCAACAGCTGCAAGCCTCTTACAGACTACCTACAGGAGACAAAAATCCAGGTCGCTGATGCTCAGCAGATGAAAAGAGAAGCAAACACAACTCAGGGGACTGAATTTCTGTCACATAACATGTGCACAGGGCTAAGGAAGATGACATGACTGTCTGCTGTGGACTGTCAAAGCCTAGGAAGAAACAGGAAGGAAAAAGCCCAGTGAAGTAAGGAGGAGTACAGAAAGTCCGAAGGAAGAAAACAAGTGATGGTAGAAACACGGTGACCACAGTGAATCACCACATTTCCAACTGCAATAGAGACTATTTGCAGTCTGCACACAAACAGCAGCCTCTGCTTATTTACAGTATCAGACCAGACCGTTTTACCTAAGTGACTCATGCTTCTGTGCTTCAGCAGCAGGCTCCCCTCTGCTGCTCCCCCACAGGGGCTAAGGCAGTCCGCTGTGGGAGTGATGGGCTGAGCCAAACAACTCAAACTCGCAGCTCCAAGCTCGGGGGGGCCTCAGGCATCACCGCTCCACATTCCCATGAACAGCCCGCGAAGTCCTCACCAATAGCCCCTATCACCCACCTGTGCAGGTAGCAGTACGAACCAAGAAACTAAATCACTTGACCACAGTCTCTCCGTAGCACTGTAACACTGCTGGGAATTGAAACCACCTTCCCTTCCTGCTTCAAATGCTTCTGTAGACCCTCGGGCAGTAGACTGGTCTTGCGTTTGCAGTTGGCAATCTGGAAATGGCAAATCATATGCTGCCTTCCTTCCCTGTTGCTATTTTGGGGGCAGCTGCTGCCACCAATTAAAAGAGTGTCCCTGTGGGCAGCTTGCTATGTAGTCAGGGTCTAAAGCTTCTGGTTATTTCAGAGATTGGCTTTTGTGTGGGAATACTGGGCTGTAAGAGAAGGGATTCAAGATGCATATTTATGACATCTCACTAAATTAGCAGCTTGACGGAGAATTCATTTATATAACATTATAATAGCATCATGCATTTCACAGGTGTTGCTGGTAAGGCCTTCGCACTAAGTGGGTTCTTCTAACACTGGTATCATGAAGGACATGGATGTTTTCCTTGGCAATAAAATAGCATCGTTCAGCCCTTCTCCACTTCACTCTCTTGGCACTGCTTGCCTAGCTACACTCACCATCTCCCAGCAGGAGTTACAAGCTGCAGAAACAGAATACTGAGACCATTTATTTCTTTTCGCACATTAATATTACTTTCTACAGCTCTCTGAGGTTCTGGAAATGACGAGGCAGATGTTACTTTGGGGAAGCGTCCTCTTTGCTTAGGTAGACACCCTTAGCTGGTGCCCCCCATGCCTATTTAAACATTAGATGATAGGTCACTTCTCGTTGCCAGGGAAAAAAAAATGCAAACTTTAGTAACCAGGCAAACAAATAGCAGGCTGGGTAGCCAAGCTGTGTGAGTGGTTCTGTTGTTTTGTGCCAGCTTTTGACTGCTAGCAGGCATGGGCCCCTCCCTGCACAGGTTGCACAGGTGAATACTTTGGCAGTTGCTAGCAATCCCACTAATTTTCTTGGCCTGCCCACATGCGTGGTCACTGCATATACACGAAAAACCTGCTTAAGAAATGAGACATGGGTGTAATCCAAGCAAATCCATTGCAACTCTGCTGGAATCTCCTAGTGACTGGGAATTAAAGCATGGCTTACGAGAAACTGAGCTATTTTTTCCAGTCAGTTGTGTTCCGACATGCCCGCTGTACTGTTTCGTACTAAACATTTTGTCTGGGAGAAGACTATAGCACAGGAACACAAATCAAAATATAATCCAGGCTTTCTTTTTTTCTTCCTACTAAAAGATGATAAAATGGTATTAATAAAAGATGTTACTTATTAAAGAAGTGTCCTGCTCCAGCATCTTCAGATGACCACTGCTAAAGCAGTAACTTGCTCCCTAGCTGCCCCAACCCTTCTGCCACAGCAAGGGGAGTTTCCTACCGGCAAGGTATTCAGGGCGAAAGAAGGATGAGGAAAGCTTCTGACCAAAGCATCTGTGGATTGTAGGATAGTAACTTTTTTTTTCTTTTTTTAGTTAAAACAGACTAATTTTGAGACTTACGAGATGCTGGCCTATCCAAAAGTACTCCAGAGACTGATGGACGTTGGTAGATTTGGGAAAATCAACTAATACAATCTTTCAACTAGAGCTGAGCACAGAAAAAGATGATTGCAACAATCATTCTGCACTGAGATGTTCCTGAGATGTGGTTTTGTTTTCATTTATTGCTATGAGCAAAAAAGAAACACGCAGCCCAAAACATCCCTATCGTTTGGGCTTTCACATGGAGCATACAGTCTTTTGCTTTTGCTTTAAGTCAGGCTAGCCAAAGACATAAAGAAATCTCTGTACCCTGTGCCATCTGCACATGAAGGTTTACCTTTTTAACAAATTAGCGTTTTCCTGTCTGCCCAAATGACTTAGCAGAACAAACTCCTGACCAGCACCAGTTTTGGCCATCCTTGTGACAGGCAGCGGAATAGAATTTTAGTTCTCAAGTCTCCAAGAATAGTTCATTTTTAAAACTGGCACCGAAGTATGAACGTGGAATGCCTCTAAAAAAACACACTTTAACTCAAAAACGTTTTTTAATTTTTTTCCCCCCGGTAAAGCTAATATTGACATATGTGGCTCCATGTCCGCAACTAAATGGTATCACCTCCTATGAGGGTTTCTTTTTGTTTTCGTTATGATGTAAGTACAACATGCTGGATAGTAGACAGCCTAAAGTGACTATGGTACAGCTATTGGCTTGAGACTGCTGGCATCATGAGGAGCGAGTACATTTGTTTCAAGGATGTCAGAGAAATCCGTAGAGAAAAGATGAGCTCGAGTTAGGTGCACAGTATTTCAGTGTAATTTCCCTAAGCTTCTGGGTTTTGAGACTCAGCTAGAAAAGACAAAAGCCAGAATTCCTGCTTAACTGCTGTTACACAAGAAGCAAAACTAATCCATGGACATACAAAATGAATGAGTTATTGCAGGCAAGCAAAGAGGCAGCTTATCTTGGAGTTGGACTTCTCTGTTTTGATTGGAACGGGGAAGGGAATGGGAACAACCATCTGCTTTATGTTCATGCAATACTCTTCAGTTCTGTTTCCTCTTGTGCTGTTAATTTTGTACCATGCCTCATAGTAAGTTGGTAAGGTTTGCCAAGGTTAAGTTCTAATTGCATCAGCAATTGCTTTATTCACAGCTCAGAGACACCTGCCTGTATATTTGTTAGTAAATCTCAACTTGCCGAGTCTTCTTTCTGAGGATGGAAACATTCATTGACATCAGTGAAAGTGATCACATGCTTTCACAGACATGTGGAAGAGAACAGTTTTTAAGCTAAGCCATTAGGATTTCGAAATCAAAGTCACATTAAAAATTGCAGTTAGACTTTTTTGGATGGCGGAGAGAAAGAAGAATTGTAAAGCTTATAGAACACAGCACTGATCGCGCTAGAAATTTTAAAAATTTGGTGCTGCGGGCTGTGGTAATATAAGTCCCTCGAGAGTGCCTTGCCAATAAACTACAATCCTGTGGTGAAATAGCCATTCCTCAAAGTGAGAATAGCTCAGCCTCTGACCCCTCTAATTCTATGGGTTTTCCTGTAATAATGCATTCCAGAAAATGACCTTGAAAATCACAATAGCTTTTAGAGACAAAAGATTTATTTATTACTCATTTTCTATCTACTTCTAAAGTCTCCTTTAAAGCCGGCGGAGAGCAGAGGGCGAAGTGCACAGCGAGCACGAAGGGAGGTTTCTGCGGCGTGCTGTCTGAGGATTGCCGCTGGAGGCCCCTCTGCAAGAGCGGGTTCCTCAGTCCCTCCGCTCAGATTTGTCCCCACGTGCAGAATTCACACTAGCGTGGTTCCTGCAACAGTTTTTAAGTTTTTATGCAGCAGAAGTTCAAAGCAACTTAAATGGGATCTAAGAGAAGCTCAGTGAGTCTGAACCTCATAGACGGTTTATGAAATATGGTTTACCGTGTTTTCTGTTGTCCTGGCCACCCGCAATGAGGCTGCCGCCTGTATTCTCAGTGCTGTCATGCTGCCTCGTTCTTCTTTGCTACCTGGTTTGCACTGCCTTGTTGTGATGTGGAAAAAAATCTTTTCAGTCCTGTTAACCATTTAACTGCTGTATCTCTATGCCATCACAAAACAATGCTGACTTAAACTCCTCTTTAATTACTTTTGAACACCGTTTTTTTGTTTGGTTGTTTTTTGTTTTAAGAAAAGAGCAGGGATGTTCTACTCTTCAGGGGGAAAAAACAGTTTTGTGATCACATAGGCAGATTCTGTTTAATCTTTTTCAGGCCCCCCTGAGTTCATTATGAGAGTTAGCTTTAGGCTAAAAAGTATTGGATTGGACCACTCGTGTTAGCTAGCTCTACATTATTTCAGGTTATGGGGAGGACTCCTGGATAAGTAAAACAGCTGGATGACCTGGGTACCAACAAGCACAGTACAGAGAGGTCTAAGCAGTTTTTTATGGAGCCATATGGGGACTCCTGAATCTGGGCTGTCTTCAGTCTAACACCTTGGGGATTGAAGGCTGGCAAAAGGTATTTTGCCAAACACTGACAATTCCTCTCTTCTTAGATTGAAACAGGATAGCAAAATAATATACTGGCAATTAATTAGAAGTAGCAAGCCCCTAATTTCCAGCAGCATGGAGCATCCTTTTCTAGCTCGTGAGATGCCAGTTCTAAATGATGCAGGAAAGGAGCAGCTGTCTGAGGCTGCCCCGCGGTTGTACAGCGTGCCGGCAAGTCCCAGCGGAGGTGAGCATTTGGCAGGGTAAGGAGAAGCAGTCAAAGAGGCATAACAAGCGTGATTTATTGCATGCCCTTGCAAATTACACTACTCGTTTTACAGCTTTAGGCAGGTTTACAGGTAGCGCTGTGAGACTGCTATGGCACTAGCTGCTATGGCAATAGCTGCTTTGAATCCTGGCATTGCAGGATTTGAAAGGTACTATATTCCATGAAATGCACAGCGCCAGTTGAAACAGCTTTCCCACGAAAGAGCCTTGGGTTAATGAAAGAGCAGTAGATTTTCTGGAGTGCCAGCGTGTTCATTTAGCAAACACATGTGGCACTTACTGTACCCGTCTCCCAGCCCAGCTGCTTGTTATCCCTCCTCTGCCAAAGGCTCCTTGAGAAGAACCGTGAGAGCCGCCCTCAGTAATAACCAGCAGCTGGGGAGGCTGCAATACCTTCAAGCCCCTGCAGCTGTTTGCTAAGTGAATGCATGTTGAAGCCTCTAGGCATTATGCTCTTTTGCCTTTTTCTGAGTATCTCACCCAGAATCTGTATGTAAGCTTTATTATTTATTCCTGTTCTTGTATCTCTACAGCGTATAGCGATTTGGGGTATTACATTATTAATAAGCTACACCATGTGGATGAATCAGTGGGAAGTAAAACTCGGAGGGCCTTCCTTTATCTAGCTGCCTTCCCCTTTATGGATGCCATGGTGAGTACATGATTCAGAACTGAGTTTTAATATGATTTTTTTTTTTTTCTTTTCTGATGATCACCTTAGTTTGCAAAGTCAATTACCTGATGGGACACTGAAGGTGTGTAGGAGGAGGGCTTGTCTTCCTTTGCATATACCTGGACGCATCTTCCTCTACTACCTGGAAAATGTGTGCAGGTGGACTTTGAACATCCAGAGATCATGACAAATGTAAAATCCTCAGTTGTCTTGTCAGAGTTAGTGTGTGTGCAGCCTAGAAGGCACTGGTCATCTTGTGATGAGCTCTCTGCATGCGTTCTCTCCTTCCAGTATGTTTGGAGGGGTTGGACTTGCTGTGTGTCCCCAGACCGCTTGCAGAGCTCACAAGGAGTAAGCTCAATGCTTCCTCAAAGCAAATTTGTTGAAAAGCTGTATGTGACCATCAGTTTTTGCAGGCACAGCTAAGTCCAGTGTATCTCAAATGCATGGGCATGAGAGCCAAACACGTGGCTGGGCTGCTGCTCCAAGATCACCAGGCTTGCCTCACACGGCCTGCACTGCACAAAGTTAGGGCAATACTTGTGCTTCCTCTATATCCCTGTAAAACTGGAAAGGGGGACTCTTTTCGTGGCATGCCTCCACTGCTTTCTCTGCCACCTTCTCCGCTTGAACTGCTGATGAGAGCTGATGCTAAAAAGAAGTTGGATCGTTAGGTTTTCTTTTCCAGATCGGCCTCAGTATAACTCAGTAAGCTGATGAGTATTACATTTTAGAGATGCATTGAACTGGTGAAATATCCCCTTGGATATTTTTAAATCCTAGTCTGTCCTGCACAGATTCTATCCCTTCTATGAAGAAGGGGCAGCTTGTTATTAGATCTCAGAAATTTCTACAGAGGCTATAAAATTACTCCCTTTCTCCCTCGCAGTCCTGGGAAAAAGGAGCTAAATGCAGCAGTGCTTTCTCTGCATTACTGGCTTAAGATCTGCCCAAGCTCACATCAGATGCTGCAGGTGGGAAAGAGCTTTATAAGCTGTTTACATGTAATGTAACAGTCGAAAACCAGTGTTCTGGGATCTGAAATCATTAGCAAATGTCATAGCCATTTCCCAAACTCTGCTCTGCCTTTTTTCAGGCTTGGACCCATGCTGGCATTCTGCTGAAACACAAATACAGCTTCCTAGTGGGATGTGCCTCCATCTCAGATGTCATAGCTCAGGTAATGACTCCTCTTAGCAACCACCGTTTATGTCGTATTACAGACGTGCTGCTTTCCTAAGAGGTGACTCTTGTGCACCGAGACTGCCTTCCCTCTCTGCCGTGAGCAACGCACCAGAAGCAACAATCCTATGTGAGGAGCGTGCTGTTCTCCAGTAGTTTCCCTGCTGTGTGCCAGCTCTTTGCTGACAGTTGTTGCTGAGACTGGTCTCACTTGACTGGATCGAGTCAGTCCCTAAGCAATGCCAGGAGCAGGGAAGCAGGACTGTTTGGGTTAGGGCTGTGCCTTCCTGCACCTCTGTAACACCGCTTTAGAACGGCTAAGAAACAAGCTATATACACAGGTACATCTGGGAAAAAGGGAGCTCAGCTGAGGAGACTGATGGTTGCTATCAGTTTGGAGGCCGAGTGCTTTGAAAGACATGTTTCTCCACCATGCACGTTTGTATGGTGCTTCGCACGGTTATACTGAAATCCTAAATGGGGCTTTTTGATAGGGAAGTGAAGGCTGACCCGTCAGTTATGCACATGCAGTCTGATCTGGTAAAATGCAGTAGTGTAAGCCATCTTCTGAGTGCCAGTAAAGGGCTGTTCTTGTTACTGGGCCAAAAGCTGAAGACTCAACTGCAGCAGAAACTTAACTTTGTTGATAGCCCTGGGTGATGCAGAGAAGAGCAAATGTTTGAACTACCATTTGTGAGAGAGGTGTTAAACATTGTTTTGCTTTGTACTAGACATGCTCACAAGACACCTTTCATACTCGTTGCTGATGGCCAACGTTATACCATGCAAGAACCAACACAGAGCCCTCTCTTTAAAATATATATAAACACATTATCAAATGGAGGATCCTAACACCTGTAAATCAGTGACTGTACTGCCCCATTACCAGCTGAAGTAATGACATGGGGAGAAAGAGCATGACAGTAGTACAGCATCAAAGGAAATAGGAAGCCAACAGCACTTAGTTCAATTCTCCATAGCGTTTTCCTCCCACTAAGTATGAGCAAACCAGGTTTAACCATTCAGTTCAACTGCTATTCTGTTTGGCAAGTACTCCGCCCCTCTGCATTACTGCATTAAATCCCTGAAGATAATGCCAGTTACAATAATTGGCCTTAACAGCCAGGCTCTGCTCTTGTTCTGGCATGCCCTACAAATTTCTCTAACTCTAGATGCATGTCAGGTCATTTACAGCTAAATAGAGAAACTGGAATTTGTATTTTGGCCATGATACACATGCCCTTTTCACAATAACTGGTGACTATGTGACGAGCCAAGGCTGTGAAGAATAAGGCACCTGTCAACTTATCTCCAGCCTATGACAGAATACTTGTACAGAGCAAGAGCAAATCCAGAGGACAAGAAGTTGTGATTCCCCCCTGCCCCAGGACTCCCTACACCTACATCTACTCCCCACACAAGCAGTAGGTGCACAGGCACTAGTCAATCCTCCTTGCATAGCATCATGTACGCATTTTTGTGACTGACTTGCTTCTACTTACTGAGAAAAATCCTTCTGTAGGGTTCAAAAGAGCTATTTTGCAAATCCTCATAAAGGGTGTGGCCTACCTAATAAACATCTGCACAGTGTGATTTTTTTTTTTTTTCCTTAAGTATTGAGTACTAGGAATGAAACAAAGAACCTATCCCTGAACATTGAGTTTTATATTCTGTGCAACTCACTTGAATGCCAGCATGTCCTGGTAAGTTTATTTTTGATCCTGCTGTCCACAGAACCAAACACAATTGGATTCTCAGTTGCCCGCCCATCCGGAGACGTTTGGAATAACAGGCATGCTGTCAGGCTCTGTGCTTAATGGAAGAGAATTATATCTCATTAATCAACCCCTTTGCATTTTCTGGATTGAGCATTTAATCAAATGAAATTGAATTATGAGCTGTTCATCCGTTTCAGCCTGAAAGTTTCCATTTCAGTCACATCAGTGTGGCGCTCCGGTAGCTCAGGAGTAAATGATTTTATACTGCAGTCTCACTCAAAAAGTACAGTATCCGGGTGATATAAGAGTTCCTACCTCTAACAGCTGAGGTGAATGTTGCAAAACATCTGGCTTTTAGTTCCTAGACACACACACACTCACACCAAAAGCAGGACTTAGAAGCTGCCTGCGGAAGTATGCCTCCAGCTTCGATCTGTCAGAATAGCTCTTTCTCCTGGGAAGGGCGATACTCAGCCGCGCACTTGATTCCACGCTAACCTTTTGCTATTATGGCTCTTAGACTGATGCCTGCCCGCTACCTTCAAGTGTTTTTTTTTTTTTTTTTTTTTTTTTTTGGCACGGCGGCTGTATGCCATTAACTCTTAGTCTTCTCATGTATGGTCAAATGCAGACGGGGTTCCTCATTAAAGTTTCTAAATTCTCCAGGCTAGAAATGAGATGCTGTGACCATGGAGTCAGACAGGAGAAGTGCTGGCCCTTAAGAAACAGGCAGGCAAATCACTAATCGTTTATTTGTTTCCCCTTCAGGTCGTTTTTGTAGCCATTTTGCTTCACAGTCACTTGGAGTGCAGGGAGCCTCTTCTGATCCCAATCTTGTCTCTATACATGGGAGCACTTGTCCGATGTACCACGTTATGCCTCGGTTACTACAGGAACATACATGACGTCATTCCTGACAGAAGTGGGCCTGAGATGGGGGTAGGTCTTGATACAGTGCATGAAGGGCCTACCCTCTCTATCCCGCAGGAAAAAAAAAGACATTTTCACTTAAAGAGGCATGATGGACACCGTTCCAGCGACAGTGCCCGTGAGGCAGTACTTTACGTGATATTGATACGCTGTCTGCTTAGCATCTCTGTACTGAGCTCTCGCCTTCTTGTGCTGTAAGACAGCACAGCATGAGCTGTAGCAGGTTAGCTAAGTGGACGCTTTGTTTCCTGGGGAAGAACCTCTCAAAATTGCTCTTTTTCCTTTAATGTCGTCTTGGAATTTACATATCTTTTTCTGGTAGCCAGAACGAATTATGCAGATACCTTATGCATTATTTACTGAGCTCCATGGCACAGCTGCGTTTGAATCAGTATTACTAACAAGGGTGACAATATTTTAGGCTCCAGCTATTGAAAACTGTTGAATTGAATGTACCAAACTGACAATGAGTGGGAAAAGCAAAAATCCTTTCACTGTGCTTTTGGTTCAGTTCTGCCTGTTTGTTTCCAAAGCCACTTGTTTTTGTTGTTGTTTTTTTCTCCCTGTTGCAGGGAGAGGCTACAATAAGGAAGATGCTGAGTTTCTGGTGGCCTTTGGCGTTAATTTTGGCAACTCAGCGAATAAGTAGGCCCATCGTCAACCTTTTTGTCTCCCGGGACCTAGGTGGCAGTTCTTCAGCCACAGAGGTAAGAGAGTCAGTGCTCAGCGTTACTGCGAACTGTCGTTTACCTGGAGCTGCCTCTGTCTTTCTCTTCTCAGCCATATTTGCAGGGGGAAAAAAAAATTGTCCTAAATACGTTTCTGTTTAGTAATCTCTTTATCCTGGAAGAGAAGACTGTTTAGACTCTTACCATGAGCACAGCTGCCAGGCCTACTGGGAGCTCACCCCGACTAGACCAGCAGAATTTTTTCACTGAACCATGCGTTCAGTTCCTGTGTCCCAAGTTTCCAAGCTCTATGTATAGGTATGCTCTGGAGATTTCCCAGATGCCCAGAGATTTCAAGACAGTCATCAGCAGTCACATGTTCCAGTGTTTTGTGTCATGTATATTTATGGCTATGCAAACTGATGTGAAACAGTACTACTCTTAGAAGCCAGTGCATCACACAAAATAAGGCAGAGACAGATGGAAGCGTGTAAAGAAAATCTGTCTCCTGGTTGGGGTATGAAACGCACCCTGTTTCTCCAAGGAATTTCAGTTTATACCTATAGGTTTGGCTAGCAAGCAACTTTTCAGCGTCCTCTAAGACGGAGGAGGTGGGAATCCCGTGCCCAGTTGTTGGCTCTTATGATCAAAGAAATATGTCCTGTTCCAGAATACGTATTAAAGAGTGTCTCTGACCAGTGCATGCATGCTGAAGTCTCATCGCTGATGAACTGATGGGTGTAGGTCTTTGGGTTGTAATGCAGAGCCTTCACCAAATGCTCACCGTGAGCTGACCCAAGGTCAGAGAGACCTTTGCCACCAGTTTCAGCGGGAGGAGGCCTAGATCCACGTAGTTGTTAGCAAACCTCACATTTTTTTTCTATAGGAAAAACAGTAAGATACGAAATGAAAAGGAAAATTCAAATAGCTGATTCCTAACAAACATCCTCTCAGCCATGCTAACTTGCCACATGTGATACTGTGTTTTTCACTCACTGAGGAGTTGCCAGTGGCTGCAAAGGAGCAGCTCTGGGAGGGAGTTTAGCAAATTTAACACGTTTACCTGTGCAAGCCAGGGACGGCTCTGTGTGTCTGTGCGTGTATAACATTCTCAGTACAATGGGAGCCAGAGCAGGTTAGCAGAGATCAGTTTTGCATTTCCTAATGGCTTTTTGGTTTTAGATACCTCGCAATTTGTGACCAGCCTCTTGCTTTTCGTTATTGTTAGCACGACTCCAAATACAAGACATAGGTGGTAGTCATATTTCAGCTTTCTATGATTTATGACAGAATTGCCTCTGAAAAGGGAGGTGCTGGCCACACACATAACGTCAGTGTCTGGAGCATCGGTATAGATAGCGGTTTTATAGTTTTATAGTAGTTCTATATATAGGTCCCATAGCGATTGCTATCACCATCATCACTGTGGGCAGGGTGTCTCCGTGAAGGGCTAGCATGTGGCACATTCATGAGGACGCAAGTCCACTTGCATTGACTTAACTTGCACTGCTTCTGTTCAGACTGCCAGCACAGTTATGGTGGCTGGGATAACTTTTCTGATGTTCATTTGATGGAGGATTTTTACCCTGTCAAATACTAGACACTTAGGAAACCGTTCATGCATGTGTTTTGGGATCCTGCCAGTCAAGGGAAAAATACTGAAAGAAAAGTCAGTGTAAAAACGTTCACTAATTTAATCCAAGTGGAATCTAGCATACAAAATGAGGTAGTGAAGTATTATTTTCTTTAATAGTTATTGCTTCTTTGCAGTCTTGTTGGACATTGGCATGAAAATAAACGTCACTCGAATATCTTTTATATTCCTTATTTAATTTAATCCAATTAGGTTTCATATGGATGGAAAGTCTGCTGAAAGGAGAGTAATGAGGGGAAAAAATTGCAATGAAAAAGAGTACTGTATTAAAATTGCAGTTTGTTTTCTTTGAACCAATTGCTTTCTCAAGTTACGATAAATATCATTACAGTGACAAGAAAAATCTGTCCCTCTCTCTCTCTCTCCCAGTTTACTCTGTGGATTTGATGACTTTTTCCTCCTGCTTTTTTAAGCAGCATAGGGAAAAAAATAACTTATTACATGGTCACTTTCCTGTGTTTGTATATATCTTTCATCAAGCAGGAACAGCAATTACGTTTATAACATGAAAAAGGAGTCAGATAACCAAGAAACTGTACTTAGAAAATTTAGCAGTGAAAATAAGACAGGAGTAGTTAAAAAGGGTCTTTCTTACCACTACAGTTGCCAGATGTAAAATGAATTTGAATTCAGGTGAATCATTTCAGGCCTGATCCTGCAAGCAAAGGACAGGCAACCACTTTGATTTATGGAGTTAGCAAAGTCGTGGGCTGTTCTCAATACTGATGCCCACTTCAGCTCTGCAGACAGGGAACCTGGGGGTGGCGGAGGACTTCCAGCCACCTTTGGCAAGGGCTCCCGAAACACCCTTCCTACATGAAGGAGAGGAGGCTATTTTGGAAAATTGTACCAAACGTGCTAAGGAAAAGGGGTTTCATTTGTAGCAGGCATGCGGGAGGGCATGCGTTGTGGGAACCTGAGGGTTTTTACTTCTTTGATGTACCTCTTGACTGTACTGGCGAAAGTAGAAAATACCTTGTTTTAAATTTCAGATAACAAGTTGTTTCTCATGCTAAAAGAGGCTGTCTGGAATTATTTTTGTCTGATTTTCGTTGATTAGCACCAAAGCGGGCAGAGACAGTTCTTTTTCTCCTAAGGGCCTCTCAGTCCAGAGCAGTCAGTCTGATATCCAAAGTCAGGCAGTCTCGGGTGCCTAAGATTTGTATTGATATAACTGTTTTGTAGTCAATCTGTCATACTTTACTCTGTTTTACATACGAATAACTAAGTAAAATGTGTATAAATTAAGATTATGAAATAGGTTAAAAAGCAAATAGGGGTTCTAGCGACGAGTTTTAATTCTGCTGCTCGGGAGTCTCTAGAGAAAATAACTCAAGGGAGGGAGATATTCAGCTTCCTGGGGGGCACACACAGCTGAAGTTAACTGTTATCCCAAAAGTATCGGCGTGATGGTGAAATTGCAAAGCTGAGTAGCGTAGCTTCGTTGCACATAAGTTTTCCTGAGCATAAAATGCATGGCCAAACGATAGCCAAATGAAGACTTCCCACTTGCCTACCTGCTTTCCCGTTCCGTCAAGGTCAATGTGGTAATCTTCATGGAAAATTGCATACAAACGTCAGTTTAGCTATCCTGTTCAAAGATTTGAAGTTCATGTTTCCTTGTCTCTTTTTGTAGGCAGTGGCAATCCTGACAGCTACGTATCCTGTGGGACACATGCCGTATGGCTGGCTGACAGAAATTAGAGCAGTATACCCTGCTTTTGACAAGGTGAGTGCCCATGTTAGGAGTGTGGTAAATATGTTTTAGTGTGGTTTCACATCCATAGTCCTCCTCTTGCTCTCTTGTCCATCATTTCAATTTAGGGGTAGCTTCATTGATGTCAGAGGAACTTCTGTCAGACAAATTCACCAAGAAAGTTAATTCATGTCTCCGTAATCCTGTCTAGTAGATTCCTTAAAAGAGTAAAACAACTATCTAGCCAGCTATCATTTTGCTTCTCTTTACTTTGGCTTTTGACACCTATATTTTCTTGTTCCACTGATAAGGTTTTCTTAAAATTGCAGTTTGACATGAAGTGGTTTTTGGTGGCTACAAGCTGTAGTCTAGTTTATAAGCTTAGTTTTGTCTCAGAGTTATGGGGTATTAAGCTACTTTTGGATAGATAGATGCCATATTTTTAAGGATTAAAAAAAAGTCTTCACTTACTAAAATATGATGCAGCTACTTAGCTAGTGGAATGAATTCTCACAAAGTATCCGACAGTGAAAAAGCTCACATCTCTGTTTCAGAGCCAGCCTGTTCTTTAGATTCTGCAGTATCTCTGAGATGGGTTTGGGTCCATTTGCTTGTATTAGTATTTAGCAAAGGATATTTCATAGACTGACAGTAACAAAGATATCATAGGTTATTTTAATGTTACTGACTTAGTTGAGCAAGACTCTGAAGATTTTTGTTGGCAAATCATCTAATTACATAAGGATGCAAGGACTGCTCCTAGAACTGTGCAGCAGGTAAACATATAACCAAAGTCAGTTTTATTTAGCCTCTTTTTCGCTTTGTTTTAGAATTGCTAATCACTGGCACACATGCTGTGTGAAGAATAGTGGTGTTCTGTGGCTCTGTAATTCAAATACCAGGGCCCGCCCTTCCCTTTATTTACCAAATAGTCTTGTCATCTGAATTTTATGATTCCACATAATTGATGAAAAAATAATGCTCCCTTGGTCAGGGATGGACTCAGCTGAAGCAAGCCCTGTTTGATCTGATCCACCATATTTCCAAGGAGAATTTAAAAACAAAACACGGAAAAGACAAATCAGTCATACTTTCCTAACTTGCCTGTGTGCAGCTAAAATAGTCATGTCAGATGTCAGGTAAAATACAACATAGCGGCTTTCTCAGAGGTCATGCCGTTGAAAAGAGACCGTAGAACGCAAAACCAATAAAGTGCAAGACTAAATGGGGTGGGAACAGGAAATGCAGAGGCTGCTAACCTCAGGTGTTTTGAGCTTCAGTCAAGTGAATAACTGTTTCAAGCTGTTGCCGTGCAAAATTAACGGTAAGCAAGAGGCCTAAATCCAGGTCTCACTTCAGCTAACAGAAGATGTGCCGTGAGGTTGAGGGGTGGCAGGATGAGACCATACTTTCTTTCTTTGTTTATTTTAATGAAAGGACTGCTCATAAAGCTCTAAGGAACAAATTTCTGCGGAGAAGAAAAAACTAGCCTAAGGCCCAAATAGGTATGATTGATCTAATGACCAAGTAAGTCTAGAGTAGGGATTTTAGTTCCATGTTTTAAGAGCAATTTGGCATACAATGTGCTAAACACAGTAGCAACAATACAAAGGGTATCTTATCCTGGCAACCACGAGTGCAAATTCCTCCACTGTGCCTTTTACACAATAAATACCAAAACAGAAACCCATATTATTTTTCTTGGATCTCTGTGAGGACTGTTTTACTCTTGAACGCACATGATTCACTTGTCACCATGCTTTTCAAAAGCTTTGTTTTCTTAAGCTAAGACTTTCTCAGGAGAGTCCAGCTAGAATTTCTTTTTACTTCCAGACTTTCTAAAACCTTGGCTGTAATTTTCAGATGTTGAAACAGTTTGCGTAAATGTGGGCTCAGTTTTATTTTGTCAGTTACTGAGAAAGATGGTGATGCTTATGGCTATCAGAAGCACAATGAGTGGCATTAACTGACGAATGGGACTTGGGATCCAGAAGGTACGCCCTTCTTTGGTGGCTAAGCAGGAGAAGCCACAGATTCTTGTCTTCAAAGGGGACTTGTTATCTCTACTGACATTTGTAAGAGAGATGCAGAGTCAAGCTTCAATCTTTTATGCAGCTGTATGTCCGGAGCAACTTTATGGCCTAGCAGTTACACTCAGGATAAGAGCTACTGCTGATTTGCAAGAAGAAAACAGGAATATCCTAATTCTGTGCTCTACTTGCTACTTTTGCGTGGTGATAATGCCGTTATTCCTAGTGGACTGTGCCATGTGATTCACAGCCCCAGCACAGGCTGTGGGAGAAGTTTTTAATGCTGTTTATCTGATGAATAGATGAATAGACTAGTTTCTAGTCTGTTCGCTGCATAGGGAGTGCTGCAATCTAAGAACTGAGCAATGTGCAAGAGATACAAATAGGGAGTATAAGGTCAAGAGTTAGACCAAAGGCAGAGTAGAACAAGGGTAGTGTTAGCACCACTGAGGTGGTGCTACGAGAGCTCTTCCTCTTTTTTCACATCTGTTTTACGTGGCTGGATTTTGATGTGCCTTTTTTCTTTTCAGTTATTTTAGCCCTATTAGAAAATTGATCTATTGCAGCAAAATTTGTTTATACAGTGGTGAGTGGTAAGCAAAGCCCATCTTCACATGTATTAAAAACTAATGATAACTAAGTATTTCTTTAGAAACACAAGAAATGAGGACAGACTCATGAAGAAAATGTTATGGAAAGATTTCATAACCCATTCCCAAAAAGAGCACACTTGGGAGTAGCTACCTACTCCAGAATATGAGTTGTCTATATGCCAAACAGTTTCTTGCATCCACGCTTTCTAGCAGATAATCTAGGCAAGAGTAGCAAGGCTCTCCAGGTGCCATCGCTGCACTGATCACCACAAATTCTTTGGATCACAGAATACCATGAGCTACTCAAATGTGTGTGAAATGATGTGCAAGATAGGTTTGTACATGTTTCTATTTGTCTTATGAGTAACTTCAGTAAAGCAAAATGGCCATGTGACAGATACTACTGTTCTATCTGAGTTACATCAAGGTTACATCAAGCCTTGTACTACATCTCCTGGTACAGTTTTTATCAGGTCAGCACTTATCCTTGTATCTCAACAGCTCCTTGGTAATTGCAGTAGATGACCCTACAGCCTCTTGCTGTAGGGCTCCCTAAAGGAGCCCTGCTTTTGATATCCCGTCCTCCCCTTTCACAGACCATTTAGTTTGTCCTGGTGTGTTCCCTGAGGGCAATTTTAAAGCTTCAGCATCATTTGCTATGTTACACGTTTGGAGGAGAGTTTTTGCTGCTGTTTTAAACAAAGCTTCACTACCGCGTGAGCGCAGAGCCCATGTTCAAGGTGGAACATCTAATAGTTGTAATTCTGTTCTGTTCATTAAACTGCATTAACAGAGCCAGGTGTTCCCAGAGCTTTGTTTATATTAGCTGCTTGGCTAATTGGATCAGTACGGATGCTTACATTGCTGTATGGATCCTGGACCCTTCTGTGTTAAAAGGGAAAGGAATCCCGTTTTCCCTATCTGTTAAAACATGCTACCAGCTTTAAACTAAGGTAACAAAAATCCCTTGGTGTTTCCTTAGAATGAGTTAACATCATTTTTCCAGCTGAAATTTGTTAAATAGGACTTACCCCTTAGAAAACTGAGGAGATTGCTGAGCCCTCAGTGACCATATGAGCAGTTATTGCCAGTTTAAGTGGAAAATATTCTTTGGTGGTACAAAGTACTCAGTTAGAAAGCTAGATTAAAAAGCAAACAAGCAAAGAAGGGCAGGCATGCACGCACACAGAGTCAGATCCAGCGCATGACCCTGGTGCTGTCAGCTCCCCAGCAGTCTGGAGCCAAGCTAATGCTCGTTATCTCTCTCTCTCTCTCTCTCTCGCCCTAGAATAACCCCAGCAATAAATTGGTGAACACTAACAGCACCGTCACAGCGACACATATCAAGAAGTTCACTTTTGTCTGCATGGCGTTGTCCTTAACGGTAAGAAACCTTTGGTCAACTCTCTGGCTTTCATCTTAAGCCGAAAATTATCTTCCATACCTAATGCTAAAGCACTGGCAGTTCAGGAAAGGTGAGTTTTCTGTTGCTTTCATCTCAGGGAGAAGGAAACACAGAGTAATGTTCTCAGAGCACTAAGAAAATCAGCCAGCAATAACTCAGACTAGATATGTTATAGGCAAGAGTTATTTTATTTAATTGTTCAATGAAAACAAGGGCTTCCTTTAGCCCTCACTACTTCTCATTTCGAGTCATCCTCCAGATGCAAGGAGGTATCAGAGATCCTCATTTTTTCTTGTATCTCTTTTTTCAAGGGCAGAATTTCTGATAACTAGCTTATCAGGAAAATGAAGGACCACATTTGTCTAATGTGGAGTGGGATGACAGGCTGTGCCCTAGCATCCATAATTACTGCGAATGATGGAAACAGTGGCATGTCTTGGAAGTGTAATAGCTTTTCCCTGCTCCCTCACATGGCACGAGTAAGGGTACTTTCATGCAAGCTGGCTTTGTTTACTCTCAAAATGAACTGCAAAGGGCAATCTCGGAGACTGTGCTGACACTGACAAAAAGATCTTAAGTCTTGTCTGCTGGAAAAAATTGCAAGGACTAACAGCTAAGTTCTGCAGAGCGCAAGGTTTGTATGAATGATTTTACTCCAGCCAGAGAGACTAATTGCAGTATTCTAGTTAGAAATACCTATTCTAACATTGAAAAAGGCATAAAGGGAGATGTATTCCACAACAACAACTTGGGCCCTGAATACTAAAGGGAATATTCCATTTCAGTCCCCCTTTAAACCTCCCGTGACACCTCCTTTATAATAAGCAGTTTCAAAAGAAAGCAGACAATTTAAAGTTATAATAGTATCACATGACTTTTTTTCATCTGTCCAATTTCTGGTCAAAAGTAATACATGCTTTTAAGAATATAAACTTATCAAGTAGGTTCAGCTATCGTATCTTATGGGTATCATATACCCAAAGATTTGCAGAATTAGGGCTAGGAAATCAACAGAGGCTAGTCTGGGTTTTTTATTTTTTGTTTTTTGGGTTTTTTTTAAATCATCAGTGAGAGTGCTTACAGCGACAGTGGTGAACATTGAAATTGTTCCAGTCAGCCGCATAGCCTCTCTGTCTAGAGCTGGATCAGGCTTGTGACTGTGTGCAAGTGTAGCAGACCGCGGAATTACTGAAGATATAGTGATAGTTCCAGCTCAAATCAACATATACTGCCGATTTATTAAGGCTTACTGTGGAATTTAAGGGGAAAGAAAATCACATGAGAAGGTTTTTGAGTTTTACTCTGAAGCAAGATTTGAGGGGGATGGTCTTCTCCTTTTAAAACTGAAGTTCCACAAAACTCCTGATGAGTCCTGATAAGAGATTCAGCTTTCCCTTTCTTGACTTCAGAAAGTAACCCAGCTACAAACATCTGCAGATCAGAAGCTTGTCTTGCATTTAGGTCTAAGAGACTCAAATCTGCTCCATACAGAGCTGCACCAGAGGTCAGTTCATGCTTCCTTGATTTTCCAGCTGAAGGAAGAAGTCTTGCTGAACCCACATCATTTCAAAGTGACTAGCTTGCATGCATACAGCACGCATTTTCTAAGAAAGCTATTTCTACACAAGTCTGTTTGGCAACAAACAGGTAGCAGTGGAAAAAAAACTTGCATAATGTTTTGGATAATAGCAAATGATGGAGTGGATGAGTATGGTAAACGCAACTCCTGTTTCTACATAGGATAGATTTACATTAGTGTTTGGAATGAGTCTAGCTGCTGTCTTTCCCCTTCAGGTGGACTTGCCTGACCAACAGTACCTCTGTCCAGCATGGTTATTAGCAGATTTGAGATGGCCAGGCAAGGCCACAGTGGGGCTGGAGCCAGCATTGCTGCGGCATCATGGGGCAGGGACTGACAGCCCCAGGCTGGGCTGAAATGGGGCTGGGCAGGGGAGGGGGTGTCTGTTCGTTTCCTAGATTTAAGCTTGGACTCTTTCTCCATGTGGTTCAGAAGCCAGCAGCACTGACTCTCAACTTGTACTTCCTACAACACGTAGTGGTGACAGATCTACATCTTCAGTGAATGTGTCATTCACTGCCATCATCTGGAGACTTTTTGCAGTTTTCATGTCCTCTCTCATCACACACCTTGAGGTTTTCTCTAGTGCTGCTCACCTTGGTCTGCCAGTCCAAGGTCTAGTTCTCCTCAATAGCTAGAGCTCCCTTGAAATCTGTACGTGTTTTCAGAGACCCACAAAGGGGAAAAACTTTCCTCTTTATAAAGTATTCTGAGAGTTCTATTTCAATTTCAAAGCTTTCTCTGAACTGATTATTTTCTTAACCCTTCTGGGCATTTATCAGGTTACTCAAGTTCTGATAGATCATGAGTTTCTCATATTACCAGCACCACCCTGTGCAGAGCTATTTTTAATTACTGCAATAGATTTTTGCTTTATAACTTTTCAGGATACTTTTTTCAAAAGTTCTACTTAGTATTAAGGAAATGCAATTCTTTCATAAGCTCATCCTAGGAAATTTCATCTGCGTTGAAATCCCAGAAGCGCTTTTGATGTCCACTGCTTTTTCTGTCCTGTTTCTATTTTTACCTACTAGTAGCACATTCTTAGCATTGCTTGTCAATGGACAGAGGGGGGAAAAAAGGACACACAGCTCTAAAGACTCAGTTTGGTTCAAGGGCCTGAGCCTGCAAATGTTTTGGCACAGAAGTTCACTAGGACTAGCTGAGCTCCCATGACCATCAGTGACTGCTCGTGTTTTCCTGGAGAGTCTCTCCTGCAGTGAATGGCAGTCAAACTAGTGGCATCATCATTGGGGAGGTCATGTTCCTCAGGAGCAGAGGGAAAGTGGGAAACAGTTCTCCCAGGCTGGCCAAGAGATCAAAAGAGATCAAAATAAGACAAATACGTAGAAATACCACATGAGTCCATTTTCCACTGGATGCTCTATAGAAGGATTCCAGAAGACAGAGAGATGAAAGAATCCCATTAACCACTGGAAAAAATAATAGTCATACTTTTAATATGAGCAGCAATCACGCTGCAAAGTAGCCTCCCAGTGTAAAATCCTGGGAAACCTCCCAATTACTGAATGTCTGCTATTTCCTAGGATTGGAAGGCAAAAGCCTTACCTCTTTCCACTGACCAATCATGCTTGCACAAGAAGTATCCCAAACCAACTGCAGCAGAGCCACTGTTACTCTTGTTGACAGTGGCAGTATTGGTCTAGAATAGAAAAAATGCCTGGTATCCTAATAATAGGTTTTTGTTTGTTTGTTTTTTTTTAACATTCATAGGATCTGAAGGTTCTCAGGCTTGACCAGGGAGCATGCAGACGTGTTCTGCTGAATGGTAGCCTAAGTACTGCCTCATAGCTTGAAGCATCAGCCTGGGATTAAAGCTGCTGCTGCAAAAATTGGGGATCAGTTGTATTGCTTAGTGAAAAAAGTCTAGACAAGCTGTTTCATTTAAAGGCTGTAAATAACAGCTATTAGACTCCTAATATGCAGGAGAGCTGACATGATTAGGCATATTGATGTGTTTTTGATTATAGCACTGGCTCCTTCCAACAGTCCTATTTTGTGTGGGTATATAATTGAACATAAAGTTCATATAGTAGAGGGAAGGGACTCAGCTGAAGAATTTTGCCCATACAGTTAAGGGACTGGTTCCAATTTTAGCTGAAAAAAGTCATATTTGATAATTTACTCCCAGCTTAAAAGAGTGTGCATATTGCCGCTTGCCATTATTGATTACTTGATTGTCATTTTTAAGGCGCTTTGGACAAAAATGCTTCTTTCTGAAAGTAGAGCTATTGCTCCATATACCACTACTGCTGCCATTACTAGATAAGGCTGTTGAAGAACAAAACATTTTGGTTCAGTGCTAGGCCTCTTGATATCGCCCTAGAAGTCATTAAGTGAAAACGTAGACTCCTGTGAAAGAAAACTGGTGCATTTGTACCACGCATCCTTTAGGTTGGGGGACGGGTCAGCGCAGAAATCCCCAGATAGCTTTTCCAGGTGTTAGAATATTGCATTTCTCCATTGCAGCAAAGTTTTTCTCCAGCAGGACAGAGCATTCCCACACACTTGAGCTGTGCTTGGAGAGAGGCAGTGCAGAGGGTGCTGTTTCGGAGAACCCTGGCTTACACGGCAGTAATAACAGCAACTAGGCCAGTATTCAACATGGGTTTTTTCAGAAGAGCAGCAGTGTCCCTCAACTCTGATGCTGCGGTGCAGAATTCAGGGCTTTTGCAAGGTAGTCTGAAGGGCAGACCTAATGCCCTTCAAAGATGACTTGTTTTACCCCCCCCCCTTTTTTTTTCCTTGCATGCAGTCCCCGTTTCCCGGTTGAGCTCTTTCTTAAGGCAGGCCTTCTGCGGTGGCACAGAACCAGCACTCAGTTGAGGTCCTTCTCCTTGAATAGCGTAAGCTGCCGGCAGCCGCCGGCCGACACGATGAGCGTTTCCTCACCTGCCTCTAAGCTGGGAGGCTTTTTGGGCCGATGTCGCTTCTCTTTAGCGCTTGCTCTTTGCACCTGCTGCTTCCCGGTGGCGGTGCATGTAAGCAGGGCACGTGACCAGCCGTGTCTTCACACACTCAGGCACTCTGTGTATTGCCAGGTTTTCCCCTACTAATCTTGCGGGCTTAAGGTGCCAAGGGTTGCGTGCTGTGCGCACCACGCCACAGGTGTCTATCTGTCACCGAGTTAACGTAGAGCAGGAGCGCTGGGCGCTCCTCCGCAGCCTGAACGTTTGTCTCATTGGAAAGAGCTCTGAGCTCTTGCCGACTTTTAGGTATAGTAGCAGCCGTGTTATTATAAAAGGGAGTTCAGTGTTGCTTTGCATTTTTCCTTTGAGACGGACACATGCTTAAGGACAAACAGGGGAAGCAGCAGCTTCCATGAACACACGTGCTGATGAAGGGGAAAGGCTAGCTGCATGTAAATGCTCTGCTATAT